GAGGCGGAGACAGGAAAGGGAGGGAGGGAAGCGCCGCCCCAGGAGTCGCTCGTCCGCCCCATCCTCTGTTTCTGCAAAGAGAAAAGATGACACTGGGAAAGGAAAGAGGGGACTCATCATGGACCTGTTTGTTTGTTTTGTTTTTGTTCTTGATTTTCCTAGACAAGGTCTCCTCCGTCCCGTCCACCTTTCTGAGGGCTCTTCGGCCCCCAGAAATCTCCTCTCCTGTCAAGGTGACCCTTCTGCAGGCAGTTAATTCCCAGCAGGGAACATCCGACATCCTGCCCCGAGGCCAGCTGCAGAGTCCGGGGTCCTCCCTGGGACAGGGCCCAGGACAGGGCGGCCCAGGAGGAGCCAGCACCGGGGACAAGGGGACACTCGCTGAAGGCCAGCACTGTAAAGGGAGAGAAACTACCACAGCCATGTAGGATGCCTAGTGATTGATGATAGTTTTGCCCACCTTCAGATTCCTCACTGGATCAGTTTACCTGCGCGACTGTACTTATAATTTACTCGTTGACCACAGTTTTATCCCACCTGGAAACCGCCTCACCTCATGGCTTTGTCCCATGAAACGCCTTGGAGAAGTGCGGTGAGCAGGCAGCCCACTTTCCGGTCCCCCTCGGTCTCTCTTAGATGGAAGCTTTCTTTCTCTCAATAAAATTTTCCTACTCTCAACTTCCATTGGTCCTAAAATTCATTCTTCGATTTCAGAGACCAGGAACTTCTGTTTCTGATACTAGGTTTGGGAGTTGCCCTGTATCAGTTACAGATGCTCCTCCGGCCTCTGACTGGGGGACCCTTCAGCTTCTGCTCCAGCTAAGTGCAGGGTGAGGGCTTTGACAGTGTCCATAGGCAGGGTGATATCTGGCCCAGGGATGATTAGGACAGATGTCAGCTACCTATGACAGTGAGTATCAGTGCCTACCAAATGGGCAGCAAACTTGGTTCTTGTTTTCTTTTGTAGCTCTGGGATTTTTATGTTTTGTTTTGTTTTTAGACAGGTTCTTGCGCCGTAGTTCAGGCTGGCTTTGAACTCCGTATGTTACCCAGGCTGGCTTCGAACTTGTGGCGATCCTCCTGCCTCAGCCTCACCCAAGTGCTGGGATTACAGGCGTGTGACACCATGACCAGTGTCAGTTCTGGGACTGGACATGGGGTCGCACACAGGCTAGGCAAGTGTTCTACCACTGAACTAAAACCCAAACCCTTATTTTTTATTTCAAGGTAGGGGCTCAGTAAGGTGCCCAGACAGGCTGTGAACTTGAGTTCCACCTGCCTCAACTCCCCAAGTAGCTGGTAGCTAGGATGATAGATGTGCACCAGCACACCTGGCCAGGCAGTGACCTTGAAGGACCAAGTCTTCAAATAGAGCTCCACCACCATTTTGAAATGCTTGGCATGAAAAACAAACTGAGTCCATTCAAAAGCCATTAACGTTCCAAGCAATTTCAGTAGTACATTTGTTAAAGAAAAATGTTTGTAATTTGTGAGTGTGTATACAGTACTAAGAATCGGACCCAGGAACACTCTCACATTGGGCTGCATTCACGGATCTTTGTTTTTTGAGACAGGGTCTCACTGTGTAGTTGAGACTGATCTGGAACTCACTATGTAGCCCAGGCTTGTCTCGAACTCACAGCGATCCTCCTGCCTCAGCCTCCCGAGTGCTGGGATTATAGGTGTGCGCCACCACGCCTGCCCATCTTGGTCATTTTGCATGTAGCCATTTCAAGCATATTAAACAGTTGGTTCCCAAAATCTAAAATGTCAAAAGTATTTTATTTGAAAATTCTGTGTCAACTTTTAATGCTTTTCCTAGTACTTTGATTTTCCTCAACTCAGTATCGAATGTACAGAAAATGTCTAACTTTTGACCAGATCCCATAGGGACCCTCCTCTGCCTTTGGGGGAGTGTACTAACAATTGTCTTTCCCCTGGGGTGCTGGGCACAGAACCCAGCGTGTGGTGCTGCTAGGCGAGCACTGGATACTTGGTCCCGTGTCTTTCCCTGGCCCTTCTGTGCCCTGACAAAGCAAAGGTCCCACCGGTCCAAGGAACTCGGCTCGCCCTCCTGAGCACCGTCACCAACAAGTGGTGACATCCTCGCATCCTGGCATCCTCGCCTGGCACGTGCAGAGTCGCGTGGTTGATGCCTGGCACCGCAGAAAAGAAAAAAGTCATCAATGCTTGGCAGCAAGCGCGGGATGGGAACCTGGGAGCGGGCTGGGTGATGCCGGTTTCCGCCAGAAAGATCTTGGCAGGCAGCGGCCAGCGTGGGCTCCCGTCGGCCTGGGATCGGTTCAAGGGGCCTCAGCAGTGCCCAGCGCTTGTCTGCGCGTACAGAAGCTCAGAGACCGCTCTGCAGGCAGCTCTGGCAGGACGCGTGGCTGGGGCCTCTGACGCTCTGCTGGCCTTGTTAGAGCCCTGACACACATCTTTACCTTTTTTTTTTTTTTTTTTTTTTTTTTTTATTTTTTTTAGTACTAGGGATCAAATTCAGGACCTTGCGCTTGCTAGGCGGGTGCTATGTAGCTGAGCTAAATCTCGGGCTGTCGTCTTTACCTTCCTTGTCCCTGGCAAAAATACAAGTAAAATACAGATTTTTTTTTTTATCATGTGCAGTGTAGTAGTTCATTTTCCATTGCTATTAACAAAATACCTAAAGCTGGTGGTTTATAAAGTTCATTGATTAGGTTTTTTTTTTCTTTTGAGACAGTCTTGCTGGTCTTGAACTCACTGTGTAGCCCAAACTGGCCTTGAATTTGAGGAGATCCTCCCGCCTCAGCCTCCCAAGTACTGGATTTACAGATGTGCACCACCACAGTCAGCCAAGAAGTCTGTTTAGCCTTTCAGAGGCTGAAAGCCTAAGATTGGGCAGTCCCACTGGTTAGGCCCTGAGAGCTCAGTGGCGGATGATATCTCAGTGGTAGAAGGGTAAGGGAGAAGGATCATGTAGTAAGACAAGAAGCCAGAGAGTAGAGAGAAGTTTTTGTTTGTTTGTGTTTGAGATGGTCCTGATCCTCCTGCCTCAGCCTCCTAAGCACTAGGATTACAGGGCTGTGCCACCACACTGGGCTTTTTTTTTTGGTACCAGGGATCGAATTTGGGTCCTTGTGCTTGCGAGGCAGGCAGCAGAACCACTGAGCTAAATCCCTGGTCCTGCTCTTTTTATAACCTACATTAATCCTTTGAAAATAGCATTAATCCCTAGTAACCGGATTACCTCCCATTAGGCTCTGGCCTCTCCAAGTATGGACTCCTCTCACATAGCCGGGGGGCGGGGGGGACAGACCAAGAAGCTCTGAAGGCCAAACTACACTCAGACAGGGCCCATCAACCGAAAAGACATCCGTCCAGCCGCACTTGCTAAGGCAAGAAGGAGGGCTTCACCCAGGGCCCTGGGACCACGGCAGTGCTGGGAGAGACCGGCCCACGTCACTACCGTAGAGCAGTGGGGTCTACAGCTGAGGGGCAGGGTGCAGAAATGGCCCAGGGGAACACGGAGGGGAAACGTCTCCCAGCCACGTCCGCTGCTCAGTCCTTGCTGAAGACAGGTGCGTGATCGGGCATCGTGGCCGCGGGCGGAGGGTGAGGTGGGGGTCAGACCTCTGCGGTGATCACACACCGGGGGTGAGGAGCATGGTACTCCACTGACTTAGCAGGCTCTCTGCTAACAGCCGATTTTTAGGACACGCGTGGGCCTAGGGAAAGGCGCAGAAGCCTGACTGAAGTTTGGCCAAGCAAGACCCTGGGTTTGATTCCCAGCCCTGGGGGGAAAGATATTGTTTATTTGGCCTGGAAAACAACACACTTGATCATGTCTTGTGGAATATTTCATCACGCACACGGAGTTATTTCCATATAATTCCATCACTGTTTGCCTGGAGAAAACCATATGTGCTATTTGATCGTGAGATTGGTTATTTAGTCTTTAGATTCCAAGTAATTGGCCTTCATCTCTGGCTGATCTAAAATGAGCCTCGTAGGGCCAGAGAGCAGGAGGGGAGAGCAGGGATCTATCTAAGGAAAGCGACATTCCCAAAAGGCCAAGAGCGTCATTGCAGTGCACTTTCAGAGTTAGGCCAGGAGAGGGCGCGTAACTGTAAACTCAGGCAGTGGACCGAGCGCTCCTTCAATTGGTCAAGTGACACAGCTTATGTCTGTCCCCTTCGTTTCTTTTTTCTTTTTTCTTTCTTTTTAGTTTGTTTGTTGGTTGGTTGGTTGGTTGATTTTGGATTTTTGAGACAGGGTCTCACTATGTAGTTGAGACTGACTGGAACTCACTATGTAGCCCAGGCTGGTCTCGAACTCACAGTGATCCTCCTGCCTCAGCCTCCCGAGTGCTGGGATTACAGGCGTGCACCATCACGCCCAGCTTCTTTTTAGTTTTTTGAAACAAATTCTCATCATTTAGTCTAGGCTGGCCTTGAACTCACTATGTAGTCCAGGCTGGCCTTGAACTCATGGGGATTGTCCCGCCTCAGTTTTAGAATTTGCTAATGAGGTGACTTTTAGAAAGCCTCTAAGGATGGAGTGGGCTGGATGCCTACTAAATCATCCAGAAGGCAGTTGAGTTAGTTTGATTTCATACTGAGACCTCTTTTTCTTTCTTTCTTTCTTTTTTTTTTTTCTGGTACCAGGGATTGAACTCAGGACCTGTGCTTTCGAGGCAGGAGGTGGAAGCACTGAGCTAAACTCCCAGCCCCATCAATGTGGTTTCTTGAATGGACTATCTTAATATAATCTTTGCACTGTTATTTATTTATTGATTGATTGATTTTTTTTATTTATTTATTTATTTTTTTTGGTACTGGGGATCCAACTCGGGACCTTGCACTTGCAAGGCAGGCGGCCGCTGAGCTAAATCCTGGATGCTCACAATTTAATTTTTTCTGAGATTTGTTTGCAAGCCCCAGCCAGTCTCCTGTGCTTCTGCTCCCAGTAGCGTTTCTCGGTGGCACCGTAAGGAGGCCAGCTGCTCCTCAGTAGCGTCCGCCTCAGAGCGGGCACTGTAACCTTGCATCATCGCCGTGAGCCTGGACCTTAGGGAAAGAAGTGGTGAACTGGGCATCAGTTGTAGACTACAGGCCTGGCTGAGCAGATCTGACTCGCGTGAACTAAAAGGACGACACCAAAGCTGCACAAAACTCAGGGACACAGAGGGAAAGGCCACTGAGACAACTCTGTGGGCGAAATCGTGCTGGATTCGCAAAGGAAAGCAGGAAACGCCAGGATTCCCGTTCGGAGGGCGAGAGAGACTGAAGGACCAAGCGAGCTCTCAGACAGATACGGTGCGGACCAGAGAATGCGGCCTCATAACCAACGGGCGCTAAAGTGCTTGCTCTCTTTTATGACTTACTTTCATCCCAGGTTCCTCTTGAATTCGACCCTTGGCATTTTCTATCTCAGCTGTGCTTCCCATCAGCCTATAGAATGTTTTATGTTTATTTGACAAGCAACTGAAGTGCCAAACTGACCATGTTACTGCACAGGGACAGTCACAGCCCCCTCCCCAGGGCCCAGACTTTAGAAATAGTCTCACTGGCTGGCTCAGGTCAGAGTGACTTTGTGGATGACTTTCATTCGCTGGATGCTAAGAGGATAAAGGAGCCAGAGCTACTATTGACATAGTTTTGGAGCCAGACACGGTAATGATCCCAGCACCAGGGAGGCTGAGGCAGGAGGGTCACCACAAATTGGAAGCCAGCATGGGCTACACAGCTAGTTCAAGATGCCCCCTGACTTACATAGTGAGACCCTGTCTTAAAAAAAATTGTTTTAGGGCTGGGGATTTAGCTCAGTGGTGCCGCTGCCTGCTTCACAAACACAAGGACCCAAGTTTGAAAAAAAAATGGTTTTTTTGAGCTCTATATCTTGCGCTTTGTTTTTGTTTTAAAGGTCAGTGTCACTGTATCACCTAGGCTGGCCTTGAACTCCCAGGCTCAAGTGATCCTCTTGCCTCAGCCCCTGCAAACCCCCTCTTTGCCAGCAGCTGTCATAAACACAGGAGCGCATGGGGTTAACATGAAGGGGCTTCTGTACCTGTGTTGGGGGTTTGCTGGGGATCAAACCCAGCACATGATAGGCAAACACTCTACTACTGAGCTGCACCTGCAGCCCTTAACAGATGCTTTTCTGTGGATAATTACAACCACGAATAACAAGTCACAGAAATTTCCATTTTGCCTGGCCTCCAATTGCTGCTGGCAAGAAGAAAATTGCAAAAGCCCATCAAAAGATGTTGGAAGAACACACCAACAGCTGTGTGCTCAAAATAGTTTATTCATCTACTCCAGTTTAGCCAAGTGTCAGCCAAGAGCCAGGCGCTGGTTAAGTCCATCCGGAATATAAGGTGGGAATGATAGCTGTTTTCCTCAGGAAGTCATTGGCTGTAAATTCATGAATATAGTTTGACACCTAATGATTTAGAGGTAAAAGTGCTCTGGATTGGTGTCTTTAAATATTTAGACTTCCTCTTGCAGGCATCAAGATAGAGAAACAGGAGCCGGGCATGGTGGCACACGCCTGTCATCCCAGCACTCAGGAGGCTGAGGCAGGAGGATCGCTGTGAGTTCGAGAGCAGCCTGAGCTAGCTACATAGTGAGTTCCAGGTCAGTCTCAAGTACATAGTGAGACCCTGTCTCAAAAAATTAAATAAATTTAAAAAAACAAAAAAACAACCAGATGCCCAGAGGTAGGAAATATGACCCATGATGAGGAAACAAAACAAAACCGACTCAGAATCCAGACTGGCTACTCCGGAGGCAGGAAGATTCAAATTCACGGGCCACCTGGGCCACCTAGTGAGACTGTCTCAAACATTTTTTTGTAATTAGTGAGGGACAAAAGAAAGAACAGGGCTGGGGATTTAGCTCAGTGGTGCCACCGCCTGCCTCACAAGCAAAAGGTTCTGAGTTCGCTCTCCGGTACCAAAAAAAAAAAAAAAAAAAAAAAAAAAAGAACAAAAAAGGAAAAAGCATCGAGCACTGAGCTCTGGACCAAATCAAGTGTTCTAAAATGTGTGCATTTAGAGAGAGGTTGAGAGAGAGAAGCATTTGGAGATGCAATTGCCCCACGTTTTCTCAACGTAATGAACCAAAACCTCAAAGACACAGGTCACTCAATGAACCCCAAGCATGAGAAATATTAAGTTATTAAACAGAGTCTGAGATCATCACAGGCACTAGTTTCTCGGCCCTCCACTGCCACCGTCACCTCCCTGCCCGACGCAGAGCTTGACCCGTTCTCTCGATCGGAGATGACCAAGGCAAGGAGGACCTGAGCTGATCCTGGCTCCGGGTCCTTCCGGGTCAGGTCCTGAGGATGTACAGCCCGCCCGATCGCGGTTGCCAGGACCCAATTGACCCGTTCTCTCGATCGGAGATGACCAAGGCAAGGATCCGGGTCCTTCCGGGTCAGGTCCTGAGGATGTACAGCCCGCCCGATCGCGGTTGCCAGGACCCCTGAGTTTAAGCCTCAAAGGGAGCCGCCACCCCGGATTCCGCCAGAGGCCAAAGAAGGTGCCATAAAAAGCCTTCCCAGGCGTTGAAAACGTCCAAGCAGACGACGCTCAGATCATCACTCCCCTAGCCGCTAAAGCTCCGGGGCGGGGCGACTCGGGTCGCCTAGTAACTAAGAGTCAAGCTCGCGGACGCTAATCATTGGTCGGAGCGGTCCGGAAGCTGGAGCCGCTGCCCATTGGGAGAGCGCGCTGCGGTCACGTGGGCGGCGTAGGCGCGTTTCCGCCAAGCGCCGGGCCAAGCAGATGCCACATTTTAAACGCGCCGCGGACTGCTGGCGTTTCCGGTGCGGGTCTCCCCCGAGGCGGCCGGAGAGGCGAGGCGCTTGTCCGCCGTCAGTGCTGAAGCCCAAGACCGTGCTGAACTGCTCGTGAGGGGGCATTGCCTCAGGATAAGACTGACTCAGAACTAAAGCGCCTCCGCGGGAACGAGAACCTTGTCAGCGAAGGTCCGGTGCCCGGAGCGTTGGCCGGCAGGGTCTGTGTCGGGGGTGGAAAGGAGGGCGTTGGCTTGGCCGTGTGTTTGGCCGTGACGAGGAGGAGCCGGTCGGCCCTCATCCCGCCAGTGTGAGGGACTGAAGGGGTGCGTGGGTGGCCCCTTAAGACATCGATGGTGCTGTCCTGATAAATAAATCTGCTCACGCGAGCCCGGGACTGGAGTACTGGTGCAGACTTTGGACAACCCTCGATTCGCTCTTTATTTTATTGGTTACTTTTACTCAGTTGATTGGTACATTTAAGGTTCACAGTACAGTTACGTTGACAGGTTCGCTGTCTTTAACGGGACCCCGTATCCAGGACTTCAGGAAACCGTGTTGGCTTTGCCTTCAAAACTGCGTTCCGGTTCTGACTGCTTCGTTACCTTCTCAGCTGCTGTCCTGCTCGGCTTTGAGCTGAGTTACTGTGATAACTTGAAGAGTGCACTCTGCCTGGCTCCCCGAATCAAGGGGATCTTGTGCGTGTGAGGGGGCCCGCGCTCAGCGCTGGGGCCCTCTCCCGAGCGTGGCCTGAGGGACACCCCCACCCTAAAGTGATCTACTTTTTTGTTTTGTTTTGGGTTTTGGGGGGAGGGTTGGTTTCTTGTTTTGTTTTGTTTTTGTAAAACAGAGTCTCACTATGTAGTTGAGACTGACCTGGAACTCACTATGTAGCCCAGGTTGGTCTCGAGCTCACTGCGATCCTCCTGCCTCAGCTTCCTGAGTGCTGGGATTGCAGGCGTGCACCACTATGCCTGGCTGATCTAGTTTTTAATGTACCAAAGGATGTCTGTTCTCTGTCAAAGCTCCAGTAAGGGCTGGAGGTGTGGCTCACTGGTAGGAGCACTGGAGCACTGGGTTTGATCCCAGCACCACACACACACACACACACACACACACACACACACACGCATGCACCAGAACCGTTCAGTAGCTTCCAATTTCAGTCACTACAATCACTACATAAGGGGTCCCACTGGTACCTGTCTGTTCTCTTTAACTCACCTCCAGAAAGGTTGCCCTCTGTGCTTTTTCTCTCCCTTTCTTCTCGCTAGGACTGGACCCAGGGCCTTCACACCGAACTACATTTCCAGCCCTTTTTTTTTATTTTGGGGTTTTTTGTTTTGTTTTGTTTTTGTTTTGTACTGGGGACCAAACTTGTGACCTTGTCCTTGCAAGGCAGGCAGTGGTACCAGTGAGCTAAATCCCCAGCCCCCCTTTTTATATTTACAATTTCGAGACAGGGTCTCACTAAATTGCTAAATTGCCCAGGCTTGGCTCAAACTTAGGATTCTCCTGCCTCAGCCTTCACAGTGCTGGGATTATAGTGGTGTGCTTGACTGACTTCATGTGGTTTCTTGTTCTCTACTAGCATGCTTTCACATTTAGGTCTCTGCACTCCCTCTTGCCTATCTGAGTGTCATCCCTGACGTGTGAGTGATTCCTTCACTTCATCTGCTTCAGTGTTATCTGAGAAAGGAGCCTTTCCCTCACCACCCCACGCAAAGCAGCAGACCACTCTGTGCCTCAGTCCCTCAACCCACACCCCTTTTCTGTTGCTTGCTACCCCTCCACACGTATATATGGCATGTAGCAACACCTGACATGTTTTGTGTGTTCTTTGCCCACCCCCTGCTCCTAAAATTTAAATATCACCAGTACCTAGAGCAATGTCTGGTAGGCAGTAGGTGTTAATAATTGTTGATGACATTTAATGAATGTTCTGTGCCCAGCATGGCTCTGTTACTTACTATGCCGAGTGGACCAAGCTTGTCCCACGGGGCTAAGAGGCTGTACCCACAGTATGGGCAGCCTCCACTCGATGCTTCATGCCCACTTTGTGTCTTCAACGCTGGCTCTTGAGATTCCTCCTCAGCTGTGATGTGGTACTCCAAAGAGAACCAGATTTTTAGGGAAAGAACCAAGTCTTTTGTTGCGGGGGACAGGGTCTCACTATGTAGTTGAGACTGACCGGGAACTCACTATGTAGCCCAGGCTGGTCTCTCCAGCGATCCTCCTGCCTCAGCCTCCCCAGTGCTGGGATTATAGGTGTGTGCCACCACGCCCAGCTCCAAGTGTTTCTTAAAGAGAACAATTTAACTGTGTACCAAGGTATATCAAGGCTGGATCAACAAAGCCCTGCTCAGGCGGGAACAGTAAATGATGTAGCCCTGTTGCTATGGCTTGGATCTCAATGTCCCCACAAAGCCTCAGGCAGTCACAGGTGGGCTTTTCAGAGGTGGCTGAATCTAGGGCGTGTGATGCTGGGTCGAGGACGCAATGCTGGGACTAAGGGTGCGAGTGCTGCCCGCCCTAAGGACCGGTAGTGAGGGCTGTACAAGGAATACAGTGAAAGCCATTACCAGCCTGCCGCCTGCTGCCTGCCGCCTGCCGCCTGCCCTGCTTTGCCATGAACCGTTTCTCCCCTGTGATGCCCCTTCGCCAGGCCCCCTGCCCTGGAGCCAGCCAACTATAAACTGAAACCTCCACAAACAGAGCTAAATAAACCTTTCCTACTCTAGCTTCGGGTGTCAGGTATTTTGTCTCGGCGATGAGGACAGTGATTAAGACATTTGTGTTAGTCCAGAAGGTTCTTGGGAGAGTTTACCTTCCTCGGTTCCCTGAAGCCAAGGAATCAGCAGCCCATGACTCATACCTTTATCCCCTAATAAAATGGAAATAACCTAGGATAAACCATCTTTTCAGAGTCGTTATGCCTCAGTGTTCCGATCCTTTTCTTGGAACTAAGGAGTGAAGACAAAGTCAAGGAGAATGGGTTAAAATAAAATTTTAAAGTGAAAAAAAAAAATGAAGGAGCAGGCTGGGGATTTAGCTCAGTGGTGCTGTGCCTGCCTTGCAAGCACCATGTCCTGAATTCGATCCCCAGTACAAAAAAAAAAATTCAAGGAGTAGAGGCAGGGTTACAAAGTTGACCTTGGGAAAGACAAACTTTGGCCTATTTCAGTTTTACCCAGAGCTGATTCTGATGATCAAAGTAAATATTGCTATTTAGCCCAAACCTGTGAGTCAGCAAAATAAGGTACTTGTAATCACAGGTGAGGAAAGTTCACAATTACCTGAAAAAAAACAGGGGTTTACTGGGAGACTGACCCCAGGCCCTTAGCATTTGCCAGGCAAGCGTTCCATCCCTGAGGTAGACTATACCCCTTTTTACATTTTATTTTGAGCCAGGCGTGGTGGTGCACACCTGTAATCCCAGTACTCAGAAGCCTGAGGCAGGAGGATTGCCATGAGTTCCAGGCCAGCCTGGGCTACATAGAGAGACCCTGTCTCAAAAAAATTGGCAAAAAATTTTGGCAAAGGGGCACCTGAAACATTTTGATAACCCAGTGAATACAGTTACGTTGGAAAGGAGGAGTTGGCTCAGAATATGGTGGGACTGAACCAGTATAAGACCTAAGGAAAGTTAAACAGAAAAGGGACAGGGTGTTGCATTACACATAGACACATCCTGGCCAAAGAAATAGGTTCTGAGCTAAGGTAAAACCTTGAAATGTAAGCAGAAGCTCTGTCTGCTGTCAACTGACATGCTGCAATATAAGGTAGAAAGAGGCTTCTCTGAGCAACTGACATGCAAGGATGACAAGGAGAAAAAACGTTTTTTGAGACAAGGTCTCATTATTCAGTACAGACTGGCCTCGAGCTCACAGTGATCCTCCTGCCTCAGCCTCCCAAATGCTGGGATTATAGGTGTGCACTACTATGCCAGCTCAGCAATTTTATTATCTTGCCTAAAGAAAAATTAAACAATAGTTTACAAATCTCAAACATGTACAGTATTGGAGTGACTTTGCTCCTCCTGTAACATACATTGACTAGGATAGATGCCTTCCCTGGCTTGCTCTTTCAGGTAGGGAAGAATTAGACAAAAACCCAGGTGACAGAAGCTTTACTGGCAGTAACCACATGGGAAGGATAAGGTTTGGAGCACGGCCAAGTTGCTCCACGCAGAAGGTGTAAGCAGAGAATTTATGCTGTCATTAAAGGTTAAGAATAGATGTTCAGCTGCGTGTGGCGGCTCACGCCTGTTATCCCAGCACTCGGGAGGCTGAGACAGGAGGATCGCTGTGAGTTCAAGACCAGCCTGGGCCTACATAGTGAGTTCCAGGTCAGTCTCAACTACATAGTGAGACCCTGTCTCAAAAAAACAAAAAAGAATAGATGTTCAGATTCTTAACATTTTTCCAGTTTAGAGAGTAGCCACTCACTAGTTGTGTGAACTTGAGGAAGTTCGTTAAAGACCCCAGGCCTCAGTTTCTTTTTCTTTTCTTTTGGTACTGGGGATGGAACTAGGGCCTTTGCGCTTGTAAGGCAGGTGGCAGCGGCACCACTGAGCTACATCCCCAGACCCTGCAGGGAGCTGTGACCCAGCAGGTCAGACGGACTGCGGCCTTGAATCAGAGTGCCTGGTTTGAACCCTGGAGCTGCCATCAACTACTTGAGTCTCCTTGTGTAGGAGGCTGTCCCTCGCTCTGCCTCCATTTTGGAGAAAGTTGGCAGCCATTAGCAAGGTGCTGGACGTGGCAGTGATCCATTCATGGGCACCTTTCTTGGCAGCTCTGCTGGTTGACAGGTGGATTCTGGGTTCTGAGACTCCCTCCTGTCACCTTCACCCACCAGCATCCTGATGTGGAATTGAGTCCTGGAAAGTGTCCCAAGCCATTTACAGTCACCGGTAAAGAAGGTGCAGAGTCTGTCTCAGGGTGACCACAGAGAGGTCCACACCCTGAGCCAGACCCTAGGAGGCAACTGACTAGAGTCCAGAGGGGTGGGTCCTGGAGGAAGGAGCCAGAGGGAATTCAGGGCTCAGGCCAGGGAGCAGGGCTCTGGGCAGAGGCTCTCGTGTGCAGGGTGGAGGGTCTAGGGGAAAGGACTGTACAAGGATT